TTGTTCCCTAATGCGCTGGTGTTACATTCAAGTGTGATTTTTGTTGCCCTTGCACCATTTTACACTTTAGAACCTGAAATGTCATCATTTAAACTCCATCAAAGTATAATTAGTCCAAAAAAGGCATAATAATATGCTATATTTAATTAGTTATCACTCTTCACCACTCATTCACACTTAGCTGCAGGGTTTTGAAATCTATTATTTACGCTATAAGTACCTACAACATCAAAATTTTCACATTATTCACAACTTCTACTGACTCTAACTAATTAAATGCAAAGTTGAGTTAAAATGCATGTAATGAGACCATTAAATATGCAATATTATGTGCTCATCAATCTACAAACAAGCAAGTAGTTCTACAAGTCATCCAACCATTGTGTTAGTATTCCATTCTTAGTTGAAGTACAATAATGGTAAAGATTGAAATCTAGTCATAAAGATCTAACTGGAATACTTGCAAAAAACCAGTGAGTCTTCCTATGCCAAGAGTCATTTATGTCATAGAAAGGACTCATGGTTGTACAAAGTACCTGGCTTTGCTAGATGTATTCAATCATTCAATAAGCAAGTGAAAGATTAAGCAGAAATGAAATGCACAAATATTACTTTCAAATGATTTATACATGCCCATCATCTCTTACTAAAGAGTGAATGAGAAACTACTCACTCTTTATGGCTTTGAGAAAGCTAGAAAAGTGAGTGATTCTCATCCCTCCAAGTAGAGGAGTTACAAGGTACAATATACTATACCATGAGCCTATCTCCGACGAAGAATGAATGAATCACTTTCCACCTTTCACTACTCAATGAACCTATCTTTTATGAAGAATGAGTGAATCATTTTTCACCCNGGTGTATTCAATCATTCAATAAGCAAGTGAAAGATTAAGCATAAATGAAATGCACAAATATTACTTCCAAATGATTTATACATGCCCATCACCTCTTACTAAAGAGTGAATGAGAAACTACTCACTCTTTATGGCTTTGAGAAAGCTAGAAAAGTGAGTGATTCTCATCCCTCCAAGTAGAGGAGTTACAAGGTACAATATACTATACCATGAGCCTATCTCCGACGAAGAATGAATGAATCACTTTCCACCTTTCACTACTCAATGAACCTATCTTTTATGAAGAATGAGTGAATCATTTTTCACCCTTCAAGGCTTTGAGCAAGCTAAAAAAGTGGAAGAGTTTCACTCATATAAGGGAAGAGAGAAGCTCAAACAATGAAAGCTAATGAAACTAATAATGAAAGCAGAAAGCTAGTCACTTTTGGAGGTTTTCCTCCTTAACAAAAAGATGATCTATCTCTCTCTATGTATGTTTATCTATATCTAAGTGCAAGTCTTATAGAAGCTCCAACAATGGAGGTATTTATAGGCAAGGAGGAGGGGGTAAAGTAGAGTAAAAGAACATTTCAAAGTCCTCAAAGTCCAAGTGAATGCCCCAAGATTCAGATAAAAAATCAACCACTCTGCATTCTATCTAGGGAGCACGNAGAAAAGTGGAAGAGTTTCACTCATATAAGGGAAGAGAGAAGCTCAAACAATGAAAGCTAATGAAAGCAGAAAGCTAGTCACTTTTGGAGGTTTTCCTCCTTAACAAAAAGATGATCTATCTCTCTCTATGTATGTTTATCTATATCTAAGTGCAAGTCTTATAGAAGCTCCAACAATGGAGGTATTTATAGGCAAGGAGGAGGGGGTAAAGTAGAGTAAAAGAACAGTTCAAAGTCCTCAAAGTCCAAGTGAATGCCCCAAGATTCAGATAAAAAATCAACCACTCTGCATTCTATCTAGGGAGCACGTTCAAACATTTAATGGCGTTCGAACATTGATTCCTGTCTTATGTAATGGACGTTCAAACACCAACTGGAGTTTGAACATGGTACTTAAGTAGCTCTTGTCACCTACAGTAGANGGCGTTTGAACACCAACTGGAGTTTGAACATGGTACTTAAGTAGCTCTTGTCACCTACAGTAGATAGGAGTTAAACAACCCATGTCTCATCACCCTAGTAGTCCTCTGGAGGTCCTCAAAAAATTCAAGAGGGCATTCAAACGTTGTTTGGCGTTCGAACATTGTACTCAAGTAGCTCTTTTTCATCTGTGAAAATAACTACAACATGCCATAAGCCATCACCCTAGCACTCTTTCAGGGGCCCTTAATAATTCAGGATGGCGTTCGAACATGGATTGGCATTCGAACATTGATGCCTTGTTTCAAACTTCTCCAATTTTCTTCCGGAACATGTGGGTGTTGCATGAAAGTTTGATGTTTATTAACTTTAGGCCTTTCTACAATCTTTTTCCTGAAATGTCATCATTGAAACTCTATCAAAGCATAATTAGTCTTATAAAAGCACAGTAAGATGCTAATTTTAACTACTAATCAGTAGATGGAGTCGTGTGAAGAAGTGTCTAGCATATTTGGGCATGTTCTACTAGTAGAACGTATAAAACCTACCAGTAGCTTTTTTCCAGTAAGCTTTTCTACCGGTAGGTTTTGCATTCCTTCTACCGATAGGTCTTGCATGTCTTCTATCGGTAGTTCTTTTTCAGCTTTTATAAATTTGTCATAACTTTTGATCCCACCGTCCGATTAACCTGAAATTTTGACACAAGACAAAGGACATCCAGATCTACAACTTTCATGTTTTAAACTTTTTAGATTTGTAGTGGATCATGGTCAAAAATGGAGAATACTTAGGTACCAATACCAAATGGTGTGAGTATCGTTACCTATGATACCAGGTACTGATACCTCCTTGATTTCATTCCCTTTAACCCTCCAAATCCTCATGTAATATGTCCATCTCTTCACCACTCATCCACACTTAGTTGTAGGGTTCCGAAAGCTATCATTTATCCTATGATTACCTACAACATCAAAATTTTTATATTATTCACAAATTCGACTAACTCTAAGTAATTAAATGCAAAGTTGAGTCAAAATTCATGTAATGGGGCCATTAGATATGCAATATTACGAGCTCATCAATGGAGCCACAGATGCAGCAGCCATAGCAAAAACAATTGAAATAGACTCAAAGGTCAGCCCCAAGGGCTCAAGACCATCAAAGATGTTATCTTACAAAGTGTCTACAGGAATAGGAATGGAAGTGGAAGATGAGATCCCATTGCACTGAAAAACGTGGTTAACAAGAGAAGAACCATCAACTACTTGGTCACTTGCATGTTGGGTTGCCACGTTCGGGTCAATCATGATGATGGTCGACCTTCCAAATTTTTCTCTAGACCTTGACTCATGAAAACAAAGTGAGCTAGTACAAGATGAAAGCTGAACTTCCACCAGAGGATTCGCTCTAGAGTTGGACTGACGAGCCAAGGGAAAAGGAGAGTTGTGTGGAGAACTAACCTTCAAAGAAGGAGGAAGATGGGCTAGAAAATTCACTATGGAGCATAGTAGGCAAGTCATTTCCAAACTACTTGGAAACATGTTAGGTGTCGCCCTGTTTTGAATAGGTTATTGATATTAGGCATGGCCTTGAAGGGGACCATGTGGAAGGATCAACGACTTGTAGAGTAGCATCGAGAGATTTCCTGAATCATGGAAGAATCGATTAGAGTAGGCCAATAGGTAAGATCAGTATTAAAGGTGGTGGCAAAAGGGTAAAAATGTGCTAAACCAAGCCAAATTGGCACACAAACTGTTATGGCATCTAAACCTCCACGCCACTATGAGCATTGGGACTAGATAAGGCCCAAGACCATAATGCAAGCCTCTGGGAAAGAGGTAGGAGAACCAGTCATCCGCATGCTAAGTAGATTGATCAAAAGGGGCCTCCCTAGGGTGATAGATAAGCCATTTCGAACCACAATTCTGAGCAAATGGCATCTTGACAAACCGTGAATTGGTTTGTTGATAAAAGAAGTCAAATCACTCGGCAAAGAATTGTTCCTTACACGTGGCAGCAAATAAAAGATGGCCATAAGCTATGTCAGGATCACTAGAGGAAGCCATAAAAAGCTCTTGAAAGTAGGCACAAAGCCACAACTGAAGAACCCAAAGGGGTCCACCACCCTTGAGTATGTTGGTGTCAATTGTCATAGACTTCACACAATAAAGATGGCCTAGCATAACAAGGGTCAAGGCATAAGAAGCTCTTATGGCTAGGTTAACGTCCAACAAGACGTACCCCTTAGTGATTTTGCAAGAAAAGGCGTAAAAGAAGAAGTGATTGAGCTAGTAAAGAAAAAAAGAAATGTGCTTAGTGTCTGTGACTTCTAATAGGCCAGGATAGGTTTGTTCTTGGTGAATGGAAAACCTTGTATGTATAAAACAAAAGAGAGGAAGGCTGAGAAGGGCATAGATATCATAAATCGTTGGACCCATCAGGCTATAGCGAAAATGGAAGGCGTTATTCAATGTGGACCAAAATAGGAGAGCCAAACAAAGCAAGGGTCTATCTATGGGCATGTTGATGGTACTAGCGTTTAGGACATCGTAAATACCCAAATGTTGCCACAAATGGCCTTTGGCCACTTTAACACGTGCAACTCATGAAACCTATTATGGAGAAAGANGAGTATCGTTACCTATGATACCAGGTACTGATACCTCCTTGATTTCATTCCCTTTAACCCTCCAAATCCTCATGTAATATGTCCATGTCTTCACCACTCATCCACACTTAGTTGTAGGGTTCCGAAAGCTATCATTTATCCTATGATTACCTACAACATCAAAATTTTTATATTATTCACAAATTCGACTAACTCTAAGTAATTAAATGCAAAGTTGAGTCAAAATTCATGTAATGGGGCCATTAGATATGCAATATTACGAGCTCATCAATGGAGCCACAGATGCAGCAGCCATAGCAAAAACAATTGAAATAGACTCAAAGGTCAGCCCCAAGGGCTCAAGACCATCAAAGATGCTATCTTACAAAGTGTCTACAGGAATAGGAATGGAAGTGGAAGATGAGATCCCATTGCACTGAAAAACGTGGTTAACAAGAGAAGAACCATCAACTACTTGGTCACTTGCATGTTGGGTTGCCACGTTCGGGTCAATCATGATGATGGTCGACCTTCCAAATTTTTCTCTAGACCTTGACTCATGAAAACAAAGTGAGCTAGTACAAGATGAAAGCTGAACTTCCACCAGAGGATTCGCTCTAGAGTTGGACTGACGAGCCAAGGGAAAAGGAGAGTTGTGTGGAGAACTAACCTTCAAAGAAGGAGGAAGATGGGCTGGAAAATTCACTATGGAGCATAGTAGGCAAGTCATTTCCAAACTACTTGGAAACATGTTAGGTGTCGCCCTGTTTTGAATAGGTTATTGATATTAGGCATGGCCTTGAAGGGGACCATGTGGAAGGATCAACGACTTGTAGAGTAGCATCGAGAGATTTCCTGAATCATGGAAGAATCGATTAGAGTAGGCCAGTAGGTAAGATCAGTATTAAAGGTGGTGGCAAAAGGGTAAAAATGTGCTAAACCAAGCCAAATTGGCACACAAACTGTTAAGGCATCTAAACCTCCACGCCACTATGAGCATTGGGACTAGATAAGGCCCAAGACCATAATGCAAGCCTCTAGGAAAGAGGTAGGAGAACCAGCCATCCGCATGATAAGCAGATTGATCAAAAGGGGCCTCTCTAGGGTGATAGATAAGCCATTTCGAACCACAATTCTGAGCAAATGGCATCTTGACAAACCGTGAATTGGTTTGTTGATAAAAGAAGTCAAATCACTCGGCAAAGAATTGTTCCTTACACGTGGCAGCAAATAAAAGATGGCCATAAGCTATGTCAGGATCACTAGAGGAAGCCATAAAAAGCTCTTGAAAGTAGGCACAAAGCCACAACTGAAGAACCCAAAGGGGTCCACCACCCTTGAGTATGTTGGTGTCAATTGTCATAGACTTCACACAATAAAGATGGCCTAGCATAACAAGGGTCAAGGCATAAGAAGCTCTTATGGCTAGGTTAACGTCCAACAAGACGTACCCCTTAGTGATTTTGCAAGAAAAGGCGTAAAAGAAGAAGTGATTGAGCTAGTAAAGAAAAAAAGAAATGTGCTTAGTGTCTGCGACTTCTAATAGGCCAGGATAGGTTTGTTCTTGGTGAATGGAAAACCTTGTATGTATAANGGTGAGGTCCGTTATATCATTTGAGTTATAGACAAATTCGAGTTTTCAACCCGCACCTTAACATCTAATTACCATTTTGTCATTTTTAATAAAATTTTAATTTTTCTCTGGTTTTATAGTTTACACCCAAATAATAAAAGATTTAGAGGTGACACGTAGCAAGGTCCAACAACCAGGATCAAGTCAACAAAAATTCAAGGGAGATAAGATAGATAAGATAAAAATGGTCTTCATGAATCTCGAATAATGAAGATACGTGACATTATGAGCCAATGGTTACAAATGGTTTGATTCACGATAGATTACTTCCCTCATGATCGAAAATGATGGCTCTAATGGTTAATAGTCACCACCCGCCTAGGATACAAAGAAGGGGTCTCTCAACCACACACAATATACCAGAGCCTTCATCTGCACTGTTTAAGCTTAGTTTTACTTCTTTTACATTGTAATCATCACTCCAATGATCGCTTTTCTGTTTTATGTCAAGTATAGTAGTTCATCGAGAAATTCTTTTATGTCACTTACATTACTCTATTTTTTCCAAGTTATTTCAAACTTTGAATTCATTGACTCGCTACTAAGGAAATTGTTTAAGTCATTGATCTTCAAGGAAATGAAAACAATCTAGAAGAAGTCTTACGCTTTGTTTTAATCACCTGAACAATCACGATTTTAGAATCTCATGCCAGTTCAAATAGGTAAGGTCATAAGTATTTGAAAACTAAGTCCTCTAGGACTTTGGCATGCTTGCAATCTAAAATATGCCAAAAAAATACTAATATGTATCTCACTATAGAAATTCATATTGAAAACGCGTTTTTTTGTGTAGGGTCTATGAGATGAGTAAAAGAGACCCTAGAATATATAATGACTTAAAAATTAGAGGGATGTGTATAGCTTGAGATAGACTTATTACTNTATAGGGTCTATGAGATGAGAAAAAGAGACCGTAGAATATATAATGACTTAAAAATTAGAGGGATGTGTATAGCTTGAGATAGACTTANTGTAGGGTCTATGAGATGAGTAAAAGAGACCCTAGAATATATAATGACTTAAAAATTAGAGGGATGTGTATAGCTTGAGATAGACTTATTACTAATAGGGTAGGTCTAGATTGGGTGAGTTTAACAGTTTGATAATAAAGATATAAATGGAGTGAGAATGAATATTTGTAGGGTAGAAATAGCTCAACCCTTCCATAAATTGGACACTAAAATATTCAATTTTTCTCCAATATGAATTTCACACTGCTAAACACATTTTTTGTAATTGCATAAACATATATTTGATGGCTCCAGCTTGTTGAGCGCCTACCAAACCTTGGTCAAATTCGCTCATTTAAACATTTTTTAATTAATGTTCAATAAAAAAATTAATTTCAAGTGTCCTTGTGAATACTTGATCTAAAAATACAAAATCCTCCATGCATTTTCATTAAGAAGAAAAACGTGGCAAAGTGAAACCTCATCTGCTAGAGTTTTTTAATTTAGCCAGATAGATGGCAAACCTATTTTATAGCCAAGTAGATAACCTTGGTCAAGAATCAAATCAACCTGACCCAGTTTACAGGTTTTTTTTTTTAACTTTATTCAAGAACTGCAAAAAGGGGAAAAGATATAGTAGATTTGAGAATTTTAGAAGTGTTATAAATCCACAGAAATATAGGCATGCTTGCTGAAACTTGAAAGCTATTGGAACACCCATCCAAACTTCTACAATATGGTTTACATACCATGTATTGATTTTCTATTATAATTTCAGACAAGTGCAAGGCATTTTCAATATTAAGTATTTGCACAAAATCAACTTCCGTATATATGTACACCAAAAGATACTGACAGAGAAAACATAAAAAGTCCGGCTGTAGCAAAACAGAATCATAAGGTGATGCAGCAAATAGATTACTCAAAATCATCTTTTCTCCCTTACACCAGCAACGGGGACATACACAACGGAAATTTCAGTCAATGTGGGTGCATCTCCTTTATTAGATTTGTCATTTGCAAGTCCCAGTAAAACCCGCTGGAGTTTTTCTACCTTGCCCTTGATTTTGCAGATCCTCTCCATTTCAGCCTCTGCTTCTTGTACACCGCCTTTGGTCGTGAAGTTAATTACCCTCTTTTTCTGTCTCTTAGCCTTTTCTCTTATAAGTTTCAATGTCACATCATCGTCAAAACCCACAGCAGCCTGAATATAAAAAAATTCCAAAATGAAAAGAAGAGTATGGAAACATATTGCAGAGTGTACACAACTACTGCTACAAACATATTTATTCGAGTAAATGATTTCAAAAATCCTTTTATTTTGGTGAAACCAACCTCTCAACCTTGATCCAACCTGGTCCAACTTTGACATCTTGACACCGACAAACAGGAAAGCCCAATCAAATCAAACTAGCAGTCTGTCTAAAGTTGGGTTGACCCACGATTGGAATGATCTTGAAATTCATAGAATTGCTTAGACAAGTCCATTATGACAGATCGTTACTGATTTTTTATAGAGCCTACCTTATGGTTAGACAGCAGATAGTATATATCTCAACAGGATTTAAACTTAGCAGCAATAATAATCCAAACTCATTACTGACTTCTAGTATAGGCTACCTAAAGGTTAGGCAGCAGACAATATATATAGCTGAACAGGAGTCGCACTTGGCTGCACAAACAATTTAACAAACTCAATCCTGTTGGTCATTGGGTGGTCTGAACAAAATTAAGAACAAATCAAAACCAGAATTAAATAATACCTTGTTATTGGCTGAGGACTGGAATAAAACTTTCTTGTATTGCTTTCTCCTCAAAGGGATGGCTAGTAATGATGGGTTCTTTCTCCTTCGGAACTTTTTCAAACTTGTATGTGTCCCAACCACATTTGCTAATGACATAACGTTAAATGCCCTTCGATCAGCAGGTTTATCCTTTCCAATTTCTGACCTGGAATTCTTTAACATTTTGGAATCAATAGTATGAAATGGTATTGCTTTCCCTGCCTGCCAATTTCCGAGAGACACAATTACAATAAAACTCAAGTTTGAGTAGACTATCCTAGTAAAAAGCAGTAACTAGTTGAACGTCTGCCTCTAGTTTTGAAGAACCTCCCGGAACATTCAAGTAGATAGATGCTGCTGTAATATAAGCTACCTAGATGTAAAGAACTCATAAGTAACTAAGTTTTAATCCATATGTTGCATTTCAGAATTCCATAACACCAGAAAAAATAAAGCAGCGATAGTTTGTAAATAATATAGGCCAAGTAGCTTGCAATCATGAGTTGTGGGTAAAATTAGAGGACAGTTAACTTCATGCAAAATTGCAAATAGTACCGAAGAGTATGCCAGTACCCCATCAACCCTCTCAACACCTTCGATTAATGAGGACCAAATTGGGCAATCGGTCCGGGGGCCCCGTCTGGTTCGGTGCTAGATAGGTGCAATGTTGTTCATAATTAACTTCATATGCATCCCATCCTTTTTTACATCTTAAATGAACATTTATCAGAAACATTAAACCAACTGAGAGACCAAGATGCTAAATAGGAGAAGTGTGGAAAACAATTGGGACAGATTAATGCAGCCCAGAAGATTTTGAAAGCATACAAGTGCAGGACTGGAATTCAAAGACAGAATAAGACCAAATATTAGTTTGTGATTAATTTATTATGTTTAGGTAATCTTTCATTGTTTTTATGCTTTTGCTGCTTGATTTTTGGTGATTTAACCTGCTTTTCCTGGATTCCCTGCTAGCCTATCATCTGTTTTTCTTATCTGTTTATTTGGCTGAACCACAATTCTAGTAACGAATCCAAAAATATGCACTTCGGAAAATCTGTCGACCACCACGTTACCTTTCTGGCTCTGAGTGCTAGGTAGCGCGCATTCTTGAACCATTTGCTAACCTGAAAAAAAGGAAATGCAAGCATAATATAAGCAGGTACAGGAGATATGTCTGCAATAAACTATGAAATAATAATTTTGGTGACATCCATTGTGGATCTGCACTTTTTTCCTTGTTCATCCTCCAGTGCACTACCAGAAGCTGGATCCCATGTCCCAACAAACCTGAATGCCTCATACATAGCCCTATCTTCCATCAAATCAATTCTACCAATGCTCCATTATCATTTTTCTGAAG